AATGATCGATTCATTGGCCATGTCTTTTGAAATTTCTCAAAGTACCTAAAATGATCATGCTGAATAAAACCAAGTATGGATAGGCAAAATATTATTACAAGAGGTACTTTGGCTAGTTAAATTGGAATCCATACTTAAACTTCAATCCACTTCAAATAGTTAAAAGGCCAAAGTTTTCTTTGGCTAGTTTGCTAAAAATTTCGAAGTATAAAATCAAGCATAAGAGTATAGAAAATAATCCAAGTTATATGGCCCAAGCTTATACTGACTCATACTTTGAGTTTTCTTAAAATCTTGCTTATTTTAAATACAGTTCCTATTATTAGTTAGTTTTATTTTTCAAAGTGTAATATGAATTATGAGGAACAATGGAAGATAAAATGGAAGCCACCATAGAATGTTTTTGTTATATGCCAAAGTGTCGCTCAAAATATAAAATTCTACACCTTGTGATCGAGTGCTCCACAAGGCATGGAATTTGGGGCGCAAATGTTGACACCACCAAATTAGATATATGGAAAGCTGACATGTGGTGAGTTCTAGTGAAACTTGCCATACCAAATCAATATTCCAGCAACTTGGAAAGAAAGGGGCTATGCGGGGACATTACTATACATGCAACCTTACTTGTTAATTCAAGTCATAACATATGTAACTACTCATCCGTTGCCACATGGATTTGTAAATTAGATCAAAGGCAACAAATGGTGTATAAACTAATAAAAAATAACACGTGGCAAGTTCTATGGGACTTGCCATATCATATTAGTTCTTTAAGAACTATAAAAGAGAGCTTTGATGCTCTGCATACGTTTCCACATAACAATTAAAACTTTGAAGAAGGAAGTCATTCGAATGACGCCATATGGCACCAAATTAATGAAGGAAATTCTAGTCCATGTGGCATACATATTCCAAGTTTGAACGCTGGTTAACCAAGTCATAGAGGAAGGTAACTGCTCGTTTATACAATTTCTCCTACTTTATAGGGTTGTTCCAAATATCATGCAGCTGTTATGGTATGGAAATGATGTCCAGGTTCATTGAATTTTGGGAGTTATGCTAAATTGTAGCAAGCTTTTTAAAATTGAATTGTGGATGATTTTAATTAAAATAACGGGGTGCGTATACACTTATATGTATATATAAGTTGTATTTAAATACAAATCCTTGTATACAAAGAGGAGATTAGATCATGGGACACCTGGCACTATAGGAAAGTGCCAGGTGGAAGTTCCAACTGTAGGAGAAGTTATCATTTCCAACTGCTAGGAGGTTACCAAATTGATGGAAATGTGCATATATATTGGTGTGTAATTATATAAACACGAATAATATATGTAAATATATCTCAGAATTTATGAAGAAGAATGATTCATACCCACGAAAGAAAGTGACCAGATCATGGGACACCTGGCATTGCACAGACGTGCCAGGTGGAAGTTTCTAACTATTGATGGAACTGTCATTTCCAACTGTTAGGAAGTTGTTGAAAATCAGCAAGTGGGCTAAGAACATGGAGCATTTACCAAAGGAAGCTGAGGAAAACATGGAACACGTGGCACGATCCGGACCTTCCAGGTTGAAGTTTCCAACTGCTGCCAGAACTGTCCTTTCCACCTGGCAGTTCCAGATGTGAATAAAGGCTTGCAAACATGCATTTAACCACCAAGACCACTCTTTATAAGTTTTAGATCATGGAAGAATATGATTTTACATATGTCAATACTATGAGAAAGCTAGGGAAGACATGAGACACGTGGCATAATCCGAACATTCCACTCGGAAGCATCTCCAATTGTTGCTGGAATTGCCATTTCCAATTGCTGCAAAAAGAGTTCTATAAATAGAGCACTTAAGCCTAGCATCCAAATCCTGTTCAATACACACAACAACACAACACTTTGCTATTCAATTTCAATTCATGTATCTCTTTATTCCAGCAATGAATTTACATTATGCTTAAATTAAGTCCAACACTTCATTGTCCTACTTTCCAGCAAGTTTTTCCTAACTCTTTCAATTACAAGTCCATCACTTTCAATTTTGTCCTCCTTTCCACTAGCTATAGAAATTTCTCTAATCTTTTTTCAAGGCAAAAAGAATCCCTAGAAGTGGTCATTCCAAACTTCCTTTTCAATTGCCTAATCTCAACAATTCTCCATTGGAATATTGTTTGGAGTTCATCTCTTTAGAACGACAGGCACGGACCCAACATAGCACTGGATTTTTTATATTTTCATTTTATACCTTATTTTTTAAAATTTATGAAGACGCTCCCACTAAAATTACAATTCGCCCCCACTGGATTTTTTTTTTTTTTTTTCATTTTATACTTCAATTTTTAAGAATTTATGAAGATGCACTCCACTAAAATTACAATTCACACCCATTGAATTATTATTATTATTATTTTTTACATTTTATTAAAATTTTGAAAATTTATGAAGAAAACACCATTGAAATTACAAAAATGGGCTCACTATATAAGTTTGCCCCCAAAGGCCACCCCTCCTCACTAAAATTTTCTGCCCGTTACTGCCTGGTACGCCCCCCAATCCTTACACTCGCCTGGATTCATGAGCCAAACACCATGATAACTCACCAAAAGTTTTTCAATTACAAGAAGAGAACAAAACCTTTACACAATTTTCTTCTACTCCGATCCTTTTATCTTACATTTCTTCTTTTATATATGTTCTTTGAACTATCATTTTATCCTTTCGAACTTGTTTAATTTATTCTTATAACTATGATGGATTTCAGCTAAAAATCTTTATTATTGCTTAAAACCGTGTGCTTATCAATTTTTTTTATTTAAAAAACCCATTCTCTTTCTATTATAAGTTAATTATCATATAACTGTTTCATCTAATTTTTTTGAGTCCTTCCACTTTCTTTTATTTTCTTTCATTAGTGTCATTGGGTTTGTTAAAAACCTAGGTTACTAGATGTACATGGACTTTTACTTAATTTTTTTATTTGTGTATTGTACAACAATAAATTTTGTGACTTCTCTTTGGTTCTTGGATACCATATCCAAGTTTCGTTTACTTATTTCATGTGAATAAGTTTCTTGACAAGGTAAACTTGCTGTAGACATTGAAATTTTGTGATAGTCTCATCATAATCCAATTGGTGAAATAGTAAAGAATTCATCATCAAATCGAAGACTACAAATATGGGTCAACCAAGGACACGTGGCAAAATCCTGAATGTCTAGTAGACCTTTAGGGAAAATATGACAATTCAAATTCAAATTTATTTCCATATAGAAGGTGATAGTGGGGAATTTCTAAATTGAAATCCCCACTTTTTGGCCTCTAAAACAAAGTCACCCTATTTGTTTGAGAGACACAATAAAATTAGACATGGACACGGAAACAGATGAAAAGAGACAGAGAACACCAAAACTCTGCTGAATCTCTATCTCAACAAGCACTCTAAAGTCTCTGAAGACAAAGAACAATAAACACACCAAGTGTTGTTTTTCATCGAAGCCATTCAAACCTTGAAGTTATGAAGGCGAAAAACAACAAGCACGCCACAAAAGTGCCATTTTTCATCAAAGCCATTCAAACCTTGAAGTTTTGAAGTCGAAAAACAACAAGCACGCTACACAAGTGTCGTTCTTCATCGAAACCATTCAAACCTTAAAGTTCTGAAGGCAAAGAACAACAAGCACACCATACAAATGCCGTACTTCTTCAAAAGAATTCAATCCACTATTTGAGATCAAGCCCCATCGGCCCTCGACCAGAAATAAAGTCAAACCTTCTTCAACCTTGAAGATCTAAAGAAAAGTTCAACATTGGTTCAAGATCAAACTTCCGAAGCTCTTGTACCAATTTTTCCAAGGAGCTTAATCAGAAGAAGATTCTTGTTGTAATAGAATCGACAACAGAGAATTGTACCTTTCTTTTTGAAAATTAATAAAATTGATTATTTGTCTGTATTTTCGTTCCTAAATTTTCAGACACGAAATTTATGTGCATACTTACACTATGTCATCATGGTAGATCCATTCATAATTTTTAAAACTTAATAAGGATGACAATAAAGGGCTATAGTGAAATTTCAATTACTAAGACAAGTAAGTTCAACATTGCTAACATATAATTTTTAGAAATGCCCATTGTAATCTTCAAAACAAAATAGTATGGGATGGGTCGAACTAGCCACTCACATCGGATGTGTGGTTACCATCATATATTTTTCCGCATTTCAAAATAGAAGGGCAAATGTTTAAATTTTCAATAAAGTGGGTAAACATTTGAGTGTGTTTTTTTGTCTAGAAAAACAAAATCCTTTCATCATTTCGTGTTTGGAATAAGAAAAATATTGATTACTCCAAGAGCACCAAATATATAATATTTTTAATTAATAAATAATTATTATTTCCCTAAAAATAAAAAATAACTATTCATAATTTGCGGAGATACTACATTGCGGAACCTCGACACCTGGTATTTTCTGGTGAGCCCGCCATCCTATGTTGTGTACAACATCATAAGTTTTTCAACACAACTTGATTTATTTGAGTTCCCTGTAAAGTCACAAAGAGTATTTTAATGAGTAAAGATTGAATTTCTGAATGAAAATGAATTTTTCAGATAGATGTTAAAAATTAAAATGCCTTTCTTAATGGTCTTCTTGTAGCTTAGACTCTGTTCCTTTCTATGTGAGTTGTATACAATGGAATATTTAGAAAGTTTTGTATATTAAAATTGAAACTTTATTAGGTTTGGTTTTGATGAAGGATGATCTGTTTATTGGTTTTCATAGGCTTGATAGAGAGAGCTTGCTCGTATGCTTGATTTATTGATTTGAAAAATAAATTAATAAATTATTATTTTAAAAATAGAATAAATATATTGGAAAGCATAAAAAAATGTGCCAAAAAGATAAAATTAAGACAAATTACGGCACCAATTGAGCAAAGTAGGGCGATAGGGTTATTGGTATATCGAACCCCACTGGGTTTATAAACCTCTAATAAATCTTCTTTTTATCAAGTACAAGTCTAAAAACGCCTCCAAGAACAAAACACTCCACTGTTGCTCCCACCAAAAGCAATGGCGGCGCTTTTGTCCCACCCCACCGCCGTTCGATCATCAAACGCAGCTTCTCTCTCTTCTGCCTCGTATTCCTCCATCTACGGCCAAAATTTCCGCCAGTCTGTGCAATTACTCGGCGCCTCAGTGTCTTCTCCGCCTACTTGTCTGGTGATCCGCCGTCGCATCTCCTCTCAAGCCTCCTCTGCGACTTCTTCGTCTTTATCTTCCGCAATTGGGAAAGGTCGGTGCTCCCTTTTGAATTTTAGAATATGGAAATGCGTACTGTTAGTGTAAATTTTGAAATTTACGAGCATGATGTGAATCTGTGATTAAACTTCTGCTAGGTCAATTGAACTCCTTTGGTTGTTGTGGAAATCAGGGTTGTGATTGTGAATTGACAGTTGATGAACATTTTTTGGTGTTGTTTTGAAAAATCGAGTTCAACTTATTATTTTTTAAATGTCATTTGATATATATATATTTTTTCATGTCTATTACTTGCAAAAATTATGAATTTATGTTGTCATATGTACTCACGCCCACATTAAAACAACCAATTTATACGGGTAAATTGTGCCTTCTGAAATTTTGAGGAAGACTGTTTCGGTTTCGATATACTGTTTTCGTTTTTGAGTTTGCATGTCGTATTGTATCTGAAACTTTCCAAAGATCACTTTGTTTTACTTTCAATTAAACTAAGTAATCCTCTGTTAATATTTTCATTTGGTTGTGTTTGATGTCTGACACTAAAATTGTCTGCCTATACGAACAATGCACTGTTTGTAACTGAGAAGAGCTAGATAATTGATCATTGCATTATATCAGAAGTGTTTGATAGAACGTTTTTTCTGGACTGCTAGTAGGGTCCATAGGTCTAACTGACATTTGAAAACATATGTTGATTGTTTAATTTTGTGCGAAAATCAATAAACAACTTCCATCTTTGGAGTAAATATATATTCTTGAACTGTTTTGTAGAATGGGAAGGTGTTGGAGGAAAAGGTTTGAGTACAGGAAGTTAGGAATAATTTGAGAATTTGAAAAATAATTTTCTATAATACAAATGGAAGGATAACTCATCATTTTGGACAATTAGATTTTTCAAGGGCTCACTTACAATTTGCTTACGGACTTCTGCATTGGAGGGCACAATTTTAGCTTAAAATCACATCTTAACCTAATATATGAAGTGCAAAAGAGTCTCTCCTCCAATTGGTATAAAATGGTAATGTAAAAGTAACTGTTCCACCTCAAATTTATGAGGGGGAGAAAATGAGTCTTAAGTGATGGGGATTGAGCTTAAGTCTAGATAGATTATTTAGAAATTGTCACCTAATGAGTTAAAGTGTGTTATCTCGCCTAAGAAAGAGGTCTTTGGAAAACACATTTTGAAAATGATTTTGTTGAGTTAGTGAACATTTTGATTTTAAAAAATGATTTCTAAGAAGGCCCTTTTTAATGGTGACTCCATAAGTAGTCTATGTTAACCAAAGCTATGAATTTGGGGGCTCGCCTATGCATGAATAATGTGTTAGGCACCCCAAAACATCTATTATAGAATGGGTTACCACATGTCTTCACATCATTCTCATGAACCCTTGTCAATTTTAATCTCTAGAGTTGTGTTGATGTCAATGTCTAGTATATTAAAAGGTAAATTTTTTATATATATACCAATACGCCAGTGGCCTAGTGGTATCAGACTCTTACTTTCCAAAGGGAGGTTAGGAGTTCAAGCCTCGGTGGAGGCATGTGTGTGTGAGTACCAACTAAGAAAATATATATGTATATATATATATTTGAAATATGTTTGAAATGTCTCCAAAGAGTACTATCATAAATCAATTAATTATATGCATAGGATAGGACCCCTTATGATGAAGGAAAAATTTGGTTTATTTAACCTATAGAATAGGATCCCTTGGGATGAAGGTAAAATTTGGACTTCGATAGAGTCACAAGTGATAAGGTGGAGTCTAGGCCATAATAGTCTTGATTCTAACCCTTTTCTTTTTGGGCTTTTTTGACTTAATCCCACCATTTTGTATGAGTTTTGATTTTAGTCCCCTTTTAAAAAAATATTAGATGTTGGTCCTCTTTTTAGAATTTTATGTTAGTCAAGAAACGGTCCACTAAAGAATATTAACGTTAAGAGGACTTTTAAATAAAATTCCAAAACTACCCCAGAGCTTAAAGTGCCTTAATCATGTTGTTAGCCGTCACCCCTCTTTCTTTGCTTTCTGTTTCCACCTCTTTTGGCTTGTCAACGTATAACAGGAGGGAACTTTGGCGATGTCCATTAGAGAAACGTGGAATTCAATCCTTCTGAATTATGAACATCTTTCTGGCCAAAGGGTGAGGCAAGGTTGCATCAAGAGCTTCCTGAAAAGATGAAAAATGGAGGCAAGTGCTTAGTGCAGCCAGTGAATGAAGTGTTGGCTGCATCCTTTGCTGATAGACTAATAACCTTCTTCAAAGATGGGCCTCTTCCCTTTGTGTGTTTTTTTTTTTTTTTTTTTTTTGGTGATATGAAGATATGAATAGATATCAATAAAACTCAACTTTTTATTAAAATAAAAAAAAATCTCACTATGAAGATATGAACAAATACCAATAAAACTACAACTTTTTTTTTATTAAAAAAAAAAAATACTAGCCCGAGTCGATCAGGTTGGAGAGAGAGAAAGAAAAGTGGCTCACCTGAATTCTCCTTGCAATAACAATTGTTAGTGACCATAATACTGATGGCAATGGTGAGGCCAAATAGAGAACTGATAGCAATGGTGAGGGAAAACAGAGAAAAAAACGGAGGTGGGCTCTAATTGTGACTAAGGTAGTTTGGTAGAAATAAATTGGGGGTAGTTTTGGTATTTTTTAAAAGAACACTATTAACCCTAACGTTATTTAGTTGACTAACATAGTTCTTTAAAAGTAGGATCAATCCCTAACATTTTAAAAAAGGACCAATATCAAAACCTATACAAAATGGTGGGAGTTAAGTAAAAAAGACCCTTTCTTTATTATAAGTAAATATGTATTAGAAAACATTCAAAAGGGGAATGCATTCCGAAGCTATACAAGGGCAAAAGCCAACAAAAAGGTTTTACGGACCAAAGGAACCCAAAAAATCAACTAACTCCTTTATAGATTTACAATTTCTCCCCATCACCCAACAAAATGAAGAACTAATAATAAGAAATTTGAAAGTCCCAATGGAATATTCCTTCCCCCTAAAAAAATCTACTATTCCGCTCCTTCCAAATGCACCACCAAACGCAAAAGGATGCCACCCTTTAAAAATCACGAGTGTGGGCTCCCACAAAACCTCCTCTCCAAGCATCAATCAAACCCCTCGAAGACTGAGGCATGACCACCTAACATACCTGTTCTTCTAATAAGTCCAACACATACTTTCGATGGGATAAACTTATACCTGTCTTGGATCTAGCTACTTCAATACCCAAGAAATACCTAAGTTTACCCAAGTCTTTAGTGTGGAATCGATAGTGCAGAAACAACTTCAACTTAATAATGCCTTCAGAATCATCACCTGTGATCACAATATCATCAACATACACCACAAGAATTATGAAACCAGTTTTAGTGCGCTGGTGAAATACCGAATGGTCAGTCTGACACCTCTGAAGACCAAACTTTAATGCTGCCTCAGAGAATTTTCCAAACCAAGCCCGTGGAGATTGTTTCAAGCCATATAGGGCCTTTTTAAGGCGACAAACAGTGTGAAGATACTCCCCCTGAGCAACAAACCCAAGTGGTTGCTCCATATAAACCTCTTCTGCTAAGTCACCATGCAAAAAGGCATTTTTAACGTCTAACTGAAACAGAGGCCAATGTCTATTAGCAGCAAGAGAAATCAAAACACGAATAGAGGAAATCTTAGCAACAGGTGCAAACGTCTCATCATAGTCAATACCATAAGTCTGTGTATAACCTTTGGCAACAAGACGTGCTTTTAAAAGCTCAACGGACCCATCCGGAAGATACTTCACAGTATATACCCAGCGACAACCAACAGGTTTAACACCTGGAGGTAATGGAACAAGAGTCCACGTGCCATTCGTATGCAAAGCATCCATTTCATCCTGCATTGCTTTCCTCCAATCCGAATCAGACAAAGCATTCTGCACAGTCTTAGGAACAAATGTAGTAGACAACTGAGAGGAAAAACATGAGAATGATGGTGACAAGGAATTATAAGAAACATAATGAGCAATGGGATGTTTAGTAACACACGAGCGAGGAGCTTTACAAAGTGCAATCGGCAAGGAATCAGACACAGTGGAATTTGTCGGATCCAAAGACTCTGAAGATGATGGAGGAGGCACGACAGCAGATGGCTTTAGTCTTCGAGTGTATACCTGTAACGGGGCAGATGAAGGAACCAGAGATTGAGATTGAAGAGAAGGTGAGGGAAGAGGAACTGCAGAAGGAAGCGACTCAAGATTGATATCAAGAAGTGAACCAGTATCTGAAAAATATGGGATGGACTCAGAAAATGTGACATTCGCGCTAATAAAGTACCGTTGAGAAACAGGACTATAGTAGCGATAACCTTTATGAGAGCGAGAGTAGCCAAGAAATACACACTTTGTGGCACGTGGGTCTAGTTTATCAAAACCAGGACCAAGATTGTGGACATAACATACACATCCAAAAACCCTAGGAGGAAGAGAAAACAAGGGAGAATCAGGAAATAAAATAGAATGTGGAGATTTGCCATTTAATACAGATGACGGCATACGGTTAATAAGATGACAGGCTGTAAGAACAGCATCACCCCAAAACCGTTTAGGCATACGCATATGAAACAAAAGACCACGAGTTACTTCTAAGAGATGTCGATTCTTACGTTTTGCAACTCCATTTTGTTGTGGTGTATAAACACATGAATTTTGATGAATAATTCCTTTATCACTAAGATATGTATCAAAGGGAGTTGAAGAATATTCCTTAGCATTATCAGAACGTCGAATACGAATTGGACATCCAAACTGAGTTTTGATTTCTTTGCGAAATTTTTGAAAAATTAAAAATAACTCAGAACGATCTTTCATTAGAAACAACTAAGTCAGGCGAGAATAATCATCCACAAATGTCACAAAATAATGAAATTTATTGATTGAAGAATGTTTTATTGGACCCCATACATCTGAATGAACCAAATGAAAAGGACTAGAAACACGATTATTAACCCTAGACTTGAAAGACACGCGATGGTGC